TGCTAACAACTCCATCAAGAACAGCAGTACAAATGACAGAAAACCTACTACAAGTAAAGCTACTTGTTCCTACTGCAAACGAGAAGGCCATAAAATTGACGATTGCTGGAAATTGAGGAAGAGAAACGAAAAAGCTCCTTCAAAAGTCAGCGCTTGCACAGTACAGTGGTCGTCGAGGTTTACTCCCTCATCATCAAGTCATATCAAGAATACCTCGACACCACCTGTTTCAAATGTATTGACTGTACAAGACTCTCCGAAAATGTCTCCACGATGTTCCAATGACTCAAACAAGAGTTTTTCAAATACATCAAGCCGATGTTCCTATGACTCAAACAAGAGTTTTTCAAATACATCAAGCCGATGTTCCAATGACTCAAACAAGAGTTTTTCAAATACATCAAGCCGATGTTCCAATGACTCAAACAAGAGTTTACCTAGTACATCACACCGATGTTCCAATGACTCTATCCAGAGTTTCCATAATACATCACCCCGATGTTCCAATAACTCTATCCAGAGTTCCCATAATACATCACCCCGATGTTCCCATGACTCCATCAAGAGTTCCCATAAGACATCACCCCGATGTTCTAATGACTCCATCAAGAGTTCTCCAAATACATCCAAAAGATGTTCTACTGACTCAAGAAAGAGTTTCTCCACTGCGTCTCCTAGAGATGTCAATGACTCCAGCGAGAGTTCGACCCAAGTCCAGTCTGCATCAACCAAAATTGATGTTTTATTAGAGGATTTTAAGCCTTTCATTTCGGAAGGATTCGTATCACTACCCGGTGATTCTACAAGTCTACGACCTATCACCATTTTGAGAGACACAGGTGCCTCACAATCGCTACTTTTAGAGGGTATCTTGCCCTTGTCAAAATCATCATCGACTGGGAAGAGCATCCTGTTACGAGGCGTAGAGCTTGGATGTATAGATGTGCCTCTACATCTAATCGACATAAAGTCAAATCTCATTACTGGACCGGTTGTTGTAGGTGTCCGACCAACATTACCATTGGAAGGCATCTCGTTGCTATTAGGCAATGACTTAGCAGGTGGAAAGGTGATAGCCGAACCCATCATCACTCAAACACCCGACTTATCTGCCACACCCGAGGAAGACCTAGAGTTATATCCAGCGTGTGCAGTAACAAGGGCAATGAGGTTGAAAGCATCTCAAGAAGAGAACGTCATCAAGGCCAACAGTAACCACGATGATGTGGACTTGAGCACCACATTCTTTGCTTCTCTTGAAGAAGAACCAACGCCAAATTCTGAAAAGCCGGCATCAACTCGAAAACAGTTGATTGAGGACCAAAAGAAGGATCCAGAGCTCGCCAAACTCCGAGAAACCGCAATGACATTGCAAGAGGCAGAGAAAACATCAACGTGCTACTACATCCAAGATGATATGCTCTTCAGGAAATGGAAACCTCCGGACGCATCCAACGAAGAAGAATGGAGAATATGCCATCAAATCGTGTTACCAGAAAGATACCGAGCGTACATCATGAATCTGGCTCATGACACACCAATGTCAGGTCATCTCGGCATCCACAAGACATACCACAAGATTATGTCACACTTCTTCTGGCCACGTTTGAAGAAAGATGTCATCCAGTACTGCCGATCCTGTCATGCCTGTCAGATGGTTGGCAAGCCAAATCAAAGGATCCCTGTTGCTCCTCTGAAGCCGATTCCAGCCTTTGAAGAACCTTTCAGCAGAGTACTTATTGACTGTGTTGGTCCTCTCCCAAGGACAAAAGCTGGCAACCAATACCTGTTGACCATTATGTGTGCTTCAACTCGTTTTCCTGAGGCTATTCCTCTAAGGAACATAAAAGCATCAAACATTGTAAAGGCCTTAATCAAGTTCTTTACTCTATTTGGTCTACCAAAGTCCATCCAATCGGACCAAGGAACGAATTTCACGGCCAATCTTTTCAAGCAAGTCATGACTCAGTTGGGCATCAAACACTGCATGTCGAGTGCGTATCATGCCGAGTCGCAAGGCGCTCTTGAGCGATTCCATCAGACTCTCAAGAACATGATCCGAACCTATTGCTTTGAGCACGAAAAAGACTGGGACGAAGGAATCCACATGCTGCTGTTTGCAACCCATGAATCCGTCCAGGAATCGTTGGGATTCAGCCCTTTTGACTTAGTCTTTGGCCATTCGGTGCGCGGTCCCTTGAAATGTATAAAAGAGACTTTGTTGTCACCAACAGCCACTGAAGGACTTTTAGACTATGTAAGTAAGTTTAAAACTAGACTTTATGATGCTTGTGTTCTGGCCAAAAATAACTTAAAAAACACACAATCCAGCATGAAACGCTGGTATGATAGAAAGGCCCGTGTTAGAGAATTTTCTCCCGGGGATAAGGTGCTTGTATTTTTGCCCATACCAGGTCAACCCTTGCAAGCCAGATATTTTGGTCCCTATGAAATTGAGACCAAAATTAGTGACCTCAATTACACAATCAAAACTCCTGACCGTAGGAAAAAGACTCAGCTATGTCATATAAACATGCTGAAGCCTTATGTATCTCGGCCAGATCACTCAGAGAAGAGTAATTGTGTTTTAAATACAGTCAAAAGTTGTTCAAATAGCCATGTTTCTCCTATTGATGATGATATTGTAAAGGAGAAATTTGGACAATACAAAATACCTAATTCTTTTGTATTACAGAATTTGGATGTAAAACTGTCTCATCTGTCTTCGACAGAAAGGCCAGTTATCATGAAACTCATTAATGAATTTAATGACATTTTTTTTCTGATGTACCAAAACAGACTAATGTTATAATGCATGATGTAGATGTTGGCGAGGCTACTCCAGTCAAGCAGCATCCTTACAGGGTCAACCCTGAAAAACTTGCCATACTTAGGTCAGAAATCAAGTATATGCTTGAAAATGACCTCATTGAACCAAGTTCCAGTAGCTGGAGCTCCCCATGTGTCTTGATACCTAAACAGGACAAGACTTATCGTTTTTGTACAGACTACCGTAAGGTAAATGCTGTAACAAAGACCGATTCGTTTCCTATCCCTAGGATAGACGATCTCATAGATCGTATTGGTGAAGCTAAGTACATCACCAAAATAGACCTACTTTCAGGTTATTGGCAGGTTCCCCTGACTGATAGGGCAAAGGAAATTTCCGCCTTTGTCACCCCTGATGGTCTGTACCAATACAAAGTGATGCCATTTGGCATGAAGAATGCTCCTGCCACTTTCCAGAGAATGATAAATGCCCTGCTTGCTGACATGGAGAATTGCCACGCATACATAGACGATGTAGTAATTTTTAGCCAAGATTTTTCTAGCCATTGTAAACAACTGCAGTGTCTTTTTACTAAACTTTTACATGCGAAAATTACTGTAAACCTGAGTAAGAGTGATTTTTGCCAGGCTTCCATCCAATACTTAGGCCATATTGTAGGACAAGGCCAGGTGAAACCTGTAATGGCCAAAGTAGAAGCTATCCAAGCTTTCCCTATTCCTGCTGATCGGAAACAACTTCGAAGATTTTTGGGAATGTCTGGATATTATAGAAAATTTTGCGAAAATTTTTCTGTCATTGCCAGTCCTTTAACAAACCTCCTGAGAAAGAACGTCCGATTTACTTGGACGGATGAATGTCAGAAAGCCTTTAACCAAATTAAGCAGATATTATCTAGCTCCCCCATTTTGATGGCTCCTGACTTCGGAAAACCTTTTAGGTTAGCTATTGACGCCAGTGACACAGGTGTTGGGTCAGTCCTTTACCAAGAAGATAATTTCCAAGTAGAGCACCCTATTTGTTTCTTTTCCAAGAAATTTAATAGACATCAAAGAAATTATTCTACTGTGGAAAAAGAATGTCTTGGGTTGATTCTTTTTATACAACACTTTGATTTTTATATCAGTGGGTCCAGATGGCCACTGGTTGTATTTACTGACCACAATCCCCTTATATTTATCCACAAAATGTCTGGCAAGAATCAACGACTTCTCAGGTGGAGTTTATTTTTACAAGAGTACAACCTAGATCTTAAACACATAAAAGGCAGCGAAAATGTTATCGCCGATGCCTTATCTAGATTGTAAAAAGTATTTTGATGTATATTTTTTTTTATATATATCATGATAAATACATTCTGTAATGTAAATATCATTTTTTGTAATTATTCTAAAAAGATTTCCATTTCGTGGAAATGTAAACTTTTTATTTTTAGGAGGGAGGTGTTACGTATCTAGGCATTGTTACCTAGATACTATTTTTTTTCTTGACCTGTAGGTTGTCTGCCCCTTGTGTACTAAGTTTTTTTTTATTTTATTTTTCACGGTGAGTCAAGCCACACAGACAGTGACCGGTCCTTGACCTATGTGTGTACCTCTGGTTGAAAGGAGGGTGTTTTTTTTTTCTTCTGTCTCTTTGAAGAGCGTTCTAGATCTGGGTGTTGATGACTTATTCTGTTCTAGAAATTACTAGATTTGTCTTGATATCGACGCGCGGTATATTATATAAAGACCGCCCGTGTAACGTTGACAGACAGACATACGGAGACAGCCGTGAGACAGAATAGAGGAGACATTGCGTGACCCGTGCGTGGTATACTAATTGATCGTGTAAGTTAAGATTTTTCTTTTTTCAAGGCCTTGCTTGTATTTGTAATTATATTTTCAAACTCTGGTATTGTAATATTTTTACATGCCATTTTTGTAAAAGGGTTTTGGTCAACCCTTCCATTTTGTATTGAGTAAATGTTTGTTTTTTTTTTACTTTATATGATTCATTTAAAAGTACTATTTGAGTTATATTATATTAAACATTAAGTTGATATTTTACCTTCCGATTTCTTGTGTCATTTTTTTTTTGTTATTCATTGTAAGTCTTTGATTAAATTCAGACTTAAGATAAGTGACACAACTACCTTTTTCTCTTGTCACGTTCCCCTAGGCAAGCCATTTAAAAGTAAAATTCAATTCGTAATACGTGACATTATGCTATTATGATATTATGCTTACAACATCAAAGATCTTCACACAACAGCATAATTAACAAACTAAGACATTGCAAAGGATAACTGTAACACAAACATTGTTGCCAACTCTCAGTAAATATGACAAAGTAAGCACCTTTATGTACAGTTTGACTTAAATGACCAATAAGAAAATATGGTTGTCCTAATAACAGATACATATGAATATGGTACATTAAAACTAATGAAAAAAAAAAAAAAAAAAAAAGAATTCAATAAATGACTGAAAGTGGGTCACCACTTCCGAAACATTGAAAATGTGACAGTATGTGTACAATAAACTGCTGAACCCATAAGGCTAAAGACTTCCAAGATATATCACAGAGGGTTGACCTGCTTGGTGATAGTTGTGGAGATTTGTTTGAAGACTTTATTGAAAAGAAACTGGCCTGATGTTTAAAATACGAACACATTGTATAACTCATTTGTTAAATATGTACGAGTTATTCGTTTACTAAGTTACAATGAGAGAAAAACAAATCTTTAATGCACAGTTAGCCTTGAGCAAATGAAGCAGAATCTTCAAAAGTTAAGAAAGGAAAACTGTTTTTGTTTTTTATATCTGCCTTAATAGTGAAGGTATCTTTAAAAAAAATGTCTTTAGAAAGATTAAAGTTACCCCACGCCATACCACTGATAAACAAAAGTAATAGAAGCATTTACGCTTTAAGCTTTCAATTAAAGACTAAAGGAACTTATAAATTAAAACAGATCTAATTTTTGTGATTCAACTTCACTGCTCTATTTTGTACTCTGATAGGTTTGAATATATCATTGTATATCATTTTATGATTTTGATACAATATATATATAGACAGCAAACTAAAAAAAAAAATCAAAATAAATTTACTAGATGAGTTGTTTAAGACCATGTCTAAGATTTTTACCATCTCCTAACGTTTGTTTGGAAATGGGTTCTAAAGCCCATCTCCCAAACAAACCAGGCAGGATTATTACAGATCATATGGTTGTCAGAGGGGGGAGGGACTTAAATAGTCAAACTGTAATAATTAAAGTCATAGAACAAAACTCATTTCAGAATTAGTTTTCCTAAAAAAACAATTTTTTTTTCAAAAACAATGTTACCATAAACTGTAAGTTATAGACAATATCTGTATTAAACTTAATATCACTTTTAAAATATATAAGTTATAATAAATACAAAGTATAAGAAAAAAATTCATATTCTTAAAAATTCCTGTTCAATTAAGAAATTTAAAATTTCCCAAAATCTGTTTTCATATGCATTCTTTATTTTGGAACATGACAATACTTAAGAATGTTTCACATGACAAACTTCCGGCTTACAAAAATGATGTGAAATGACGAGACATGAAAAGTCAAAAGATCTCTTTTTAACCTTGTATTTCTGCTTTTTAAAAAAACAAGAGTGAATTTGGTCTCTAATTTTTTAAATATCTTTTTTTGTTCTTTTTCATTTGTTTAGAAAGGGATGATCTGCTTCACTTCTTTTCACTGGACATCGCTACCGAGACCAATTTCTTGACATAATCTTGTGAGGTGATATTGTCTAGCATAAATCTGACCACATCTTGCCTACTTATTGCATTTGATACATTGGCAATGCATTGTCCTTCCTTTGCTATGATTTTCTCACCTACAAGAGCAGAGAAAAAACTGGTGAAACAAGCAATAGAAAAAAGAATACTTTTTAAACAAAAGATTATCTAAGAGGAATTAACCCCAAATTACTACCATTTAACTGAAAATTACAGGACTTAGTTCCTGTTCTGCTATATAAAACTAAATTAATTAATTAGTACTAAATGATTAATTAATTGTTTTTTTTTTATTCGTGTATTGTCATTGACTATGAATATCTATGCAAAATTTCAACATTATCATAGAATGCAAAATGGGAGAAAAAATGTGTCAAAATATACTAAGGGGACTACATATATATATCCACATCTCTCAATAAGTAGCATTTATTACCCTTATTTTGAAATCAAACAAAAAAATTAAATCACCAATAATTCATTAACAATTATTTTAATTTTTTTAAACCATTGGTAAAAAAACATTTCTAATTTCACAGATTTATTACTGTTTGTCTAGATCTATAACAAATTTAATTAGATGACTGATCCAAACTAATTGATACACTTAATATAAGCTTTGTTTTTTTTATTTTGCTTGTTACTCGCAATCATTTTTTAAATTAAATAAATGTACAGAACAACAGATTACATAAATTTTTAACTTGCAAAGCTGATAAAGTATACCCAAGAAATGATGGGGAAAATAATTTAATTAATTATTGCAATGATCAATGATCATCCTTCATAAGAATCTGAAAAAGGCGCATCTCATTTCAATTTCTTTTAAATTCTAAAGAATCTTTAAGAAACTGGCACATGAGCTTCAAAATAAGATAATATTTTATATTAAAAGATATTACTATTTTCATTTTCCATTACAAACATACCATTAGTATAATTTATTTTTAATATTTTATTTTAAAAGCTATTACTATTTTCATTTTCCATTACAAACATACCATTAGTATAAAGAACATTAAATTAATAACTAATGTTGCATGAATAAAATATGGTTTACCGTTGGAGGGTTCATTGGTTAACCTGGGTGGTTTCACTACTGTGTAATTAATATCACTGCATTCCTTCAGAAGGTAGTCTTCAAATATCTCCATGTCTTTCACAATGTTTCTCAGAAATGACGGCTTCAGAACCCATTTCCAAACAAATGGTAAATCTGGATCATCTATGCAAAATAGAAACAAAAAAATGAAATTACAAAATCAAAAAACAAGAAAATAGTTTTCCTTAGTAAAAGATAAATTGAGCTAATAGTAAATCTTTTCATCTAAAGTAAATGGAGTCTAGAACAAATGGAAAATCAATAATGTAATGAGTACTTAAGAACTAGACAAACACTTTGCTTATTAAAAATCAAACCAAAAATGACTGAGCACATTAATAAGTATATTAATGTTCTAGTACCAGGGCCAGCCTTAGATAATTGGAGGTCCTAGGCATAGGCATTAAATAGAAAAATTAAAAATAAAGAGCGAAAAATACAATTATGTAATTTATTTATATCATAGTAAACTCCAACTATAACATTGGGGACAAGTTTAGCTATTTCTTCACTAAATAATTGGTTTTAATTCCTGTCTTAGGCCAGCACCAACCATAGCCAGCTGCCTAGTTAGCCTATGCTTAAGGCTCGTCCTGGTTCTATTAGCAAAACAAAACCTATTTAATTAACTTTTTATTTTCACTGATATTAACAATTAAAAGACTTATTTAATATTCTCAATCTTTTAATATTTTTTTTTCATAATCTAAATGTGTGGGATCTGTGGTTGAATGTCATAAACTGCTAGGCTTCATACACTGGGGGGTTGAGTTTGAAAACCGACCTAGACTAGAGATTTTGAACTCAAGATTTGGCTCAAGAAGATTTGTGTTTGCAGAGCATCTAAGGACAAGAAGAAAACCTGCTATCAGATTCTCTCTCCCCTATATGTCTATCAAAGAGATTGGACTAGAGCACACTTAACATGCTACACAAGCGTGTAAGACATGCTAGACAAGCAATGATAATAATAATAATGACTATTACACCTGTATTTATGGCAATGAATTAAACACATGTTTAGGATTTTCCTATATATATGGCTAACTGGAATTCTAAGGAATGTAAAAAGTAGATGTAGGCTACCAATAGAACTACTCATCTGTAATAGATTATTTTTAGCAGAGTAAAGCAGTTGAAAGATAGATACCAACACTTCATCTTCCCTAGTGCTATTAGAGCATGGAATGGATTGCCTGAATCAGACAGAATAACCAACGACTTGGCAACGATTGACTAAGGGTAATGCATCTTCCTTTTTGAAGTAACATATATATTTTATAAGATAAGTAAGGTATGATCCAATTCAAGAACATAAGAGGACTGGATTTAGTCTCATTTATAATGACATTTAATTATAATGCAATACAAGGTTGCTAAACTTAAATTAACCTTTTGTTCCCCAAGCTGTGATGGCTATGAATCTCTTGACTCCTGTTTCTCTCATGGCTTTAACCACTGCTTCACCACTCTTGGAATAGATATCACAGGGGGTCATAATACCAGGACGACCTCCAATGGCTGACAACACTGCATCACAGCCTTTTAGATTCTCTGCTATTTCTTCAGACTTGAGTACATCAACTTGAACAACCTGTTAACAGCAATAACATTTGGATTAAGTTCAAATATTATCAATTACCTATGACTTTCACATATTTGGATAAAAATTGGCTCATGTTAAAATTACCCTTTATGGTACTGGTACTTCAATAAAAAGATTCATTTTTTTAATTAGTGTTGTATATGATTCTAATGACAAGTGATATTTAGATCATTAGTTCACCCAGTCTCTCCTTCAAGCACGTTTGATAAATTCCTTAAAAAAAATCAACAAGTGATTCAAATCTTGATATATTCAATCAATACATTAAAAAAATCACAACTTGTTCTATAAGAGTTAATATTGAAATGTCAAAAGTTCAACTAAATGTTCCATGAAAGGCATAAATGCAACACTTGATCTAAAAGCTAATAAAAAGACCTTACTGCAAATTTTAACATTTTGCCCTATAAATAAGAGCTATTCCTTAAAAAAGAAGAGAATTATGCCCTATGTGTGTCAATCTAGTTGTGCATGTTAATTAGAGACTGAAGCTCAATAAAGAGAATAGGTTTTTTCTGGTTGATTCAGGCAACTCAATTCTTGCTCTAATCACTTTAAAAAAATTGTCCTATCATATGGAGTAAGAAATATTTCTGTACCTTGGTATCTTTCTGAATATTTTATCAGGCTGTGTTTTGTGTAAGTTATGGTTAAGAAAAAAAGACTATCAGCTCTTAGCCCCAGGACAGCAGCTGATGCCATCGGGAAATAGAATTGAAAGAAAAGAACTATGTCTAGCTACTTATGTTGTAAATAAAATAAGAGGTGAAAATAATTAGAAGTAGAACAAAGTTCTTCTGATGCATGTCCATTAGGACTAAAACAGAAAGATTTTAAAACTCCTTCATCCCACTTTCGGTCAGAGTGTTACAAGGTCATTTGTTGTCATCAAGAAGTACATAGAAGTCTAATTGATAAAGCGCTGGTTGTGAGTGTGTACCGGTATGTGTTTTGTGTGTGAATGTTGTTAGTATTTGAATCTA